CGAAGATGATGATGAAGATGTCAGCAGGAAGGACAACTCCGTGAAGTCAAAGAGGCAAAAGAAGCCGAAAGTCTACCAAAGGAGCAAGGATTACATTTTTGTTGCAGCCACATTGTCTGAAAGAAGTAAGAAATCTCCTGGAGGAGTCATAAGGGATCGGTTTCCGAATGCGACACGAATCACCGGAAATCTTCTGCATTGTCATAATCCCAACCTACAACTAAGATGGTTAAAGGTGGACAGCGATTCGCGGATCGCCGCCCTTGTTGATGCCATTGTGCGAACAGGAAATGGAGGTGGCGAGTGCAGATCTGAGGAGGGTGAGGATGGTGCTGGTGGTGTGGCCAGTGGTGGCAACCAGCTACAATCCCGTCGCAAGCTCAAAGCAATGAGGATCATGGTGTTTGCGAATAGCGTGGAGGCCGTCGAAGGCATCGGGAGAGTCTTGTCTAGGAGGGGGGTGGACTGCTCGTGCTACCACAAGGGCGTTCCCGCTCAAGACCGAACAGTCGTACTGCATGACTTCGCTGAGAAAGGAGGAGTCCTGATTTGTACCGATGTAGCGTCACGTGGCCTGGACATTCCAGAAGTTGCGCACGTGGTTCAGGTCGGTTGACGTATTTTGGTTTCTGCCCTCGTTGGTTGGTTGGTATTTAAGTGCTCCTCCATAGGTGGATGGACTGATTGGTGGATGGATGGATGGATGGATGGATGGATGGATGGGCGTTGGGCGCATGGGTTTGGGCAGGTGGGCGGGTAGGAGCGAGGGTCGGTGGGTGGATGGTCAGCTGCGTGGATCGGCGGTTGGATGGGCAGCTGCGTGGATTGGTGGGTGGATGGATGGATGTATTCATTGATAGGTAATGCATGTCGATGGACAGGTGGATGCTTGGATCGCCGAGAGGATGGGTGGATGCATGTGATGGATGTATTCATCAATGGGTGGATGGTTAGATGAAAAAAAAAAAAAAAAAAAAAAAAAAAAGATGTATTCATGGATGAGTGGATGGATGAATGGATGGGGCGATGGATGTGTGGATGGATGGATGGATGGATGGATGGATGGATAGATGGATGAGCAGGTGTTTGTGTGCATGGACGGATGGATGGATGGGTGACGAAGGGGTGGGAGGATGGATGGATGGACAGATGGTGGGCGGGAGGACGGATGGATGGATGGATGTGAGTGGGGGGATGGGTGGATGAATGGATGAATGGATGGATGGATGGACATCCGTTAAAATTTGAATTATACAGAGAAGATGTTGGTTTGTGTTTGTGGCATTTTCAGTAAAAGAACTCTATGCTAGGATGATGACACACATCAAGAAATGTTCCAAAATTTTTCAGAAAGACAAGAAGGATATTAGTTTATTAAACTTATTTATTATCTTTTAATAGGTTTATGCCTTTTCTGGGCGCATCTGCCTCTGGCTGTCCAGAATGCCAGGCAGGGAAAGGTCCCAGGCAGCCTCAGGGCAAAAAAAAAGAAGGAAAAAAAAAAAGTGGAGGAAGAGAATGGTGTGTAGAATAAATTGAATAAGACTAGAATGACAACAAGCGTCACCTCAGAATTCCAAACCAAGGCACACCCCTTCAAATCCCATTTATAGGGGTGCACCCTCACCGGCAGGGCGTTTTCGGGGTGGGGGGGGGGGGAGCAATTCCTCATTGAATCAAATATAAAACTTGTTAAAGAGAAATCAAAATACAAATTCCAAACCAAGGCACAACCCTTCAAATCTTATTTATACCCCCCTTCCTCCCCCCTTCCCCCCAATCAGACAACACCAAGAAACAAAAAGGAGCCTGGGTTCAGGCTGCTTTCGGAGACACACTACTGGCGGGGGAAAACAGAAAATTTCCTCTAACTTGTGGATGGATAAGATATGGTGGAAGTAAGTGGGGCTAATTGAACCTATGGTGGGTACGCGGGGCGGTAGGGACAGTCATGTGAGGAAGGATGAGAGTAATTGGGGAGCAAGACAAAGTAGGTCCAAGTACGGAGGTGTTGCCGGGGAAAAATGGGGGCTGAAAGGGGTAGGGCTGGAAACCAGGGACAAAAGGACATAAGGACAACATAGTGGCTTTCAAAAAAAAAAAAAAAAAAAAAAAAAAGGACAACATAATGCCCGGAGTAGGTTTAAATGGGGTGGATATAAGGCTTAGGCAGAAGAAAGGGTAATAGGGATTGGATAAGATGCTGAATGAGACACTGACAGGTAAACATAGGTGTTATGAGGCCTGGGGAGCTGCTAGGGCAACACCCCCCCCTCCCCCCCTCTCCGCATCCTGCCATCCGGGGGGGAGGCTGCCCTGCTGCGTGACTGGGTGGTGCTAGTAAACTTCCCGACCAGCAGGGCAGCCCCCCTCCTCAGGGATTGGGCGGAGGGATGGCCTGTAGCAGGTTCCCCCTTGTAGGTGGCTACGGCCGCAAGGGATAGGCTGACTCTTTCTCGCGTGTTCTCCCCCCTTTCTGTTGGATGTACAAACATGCTTGCCGGTGATGAGCAACCGGACTGCTGCCCCCAAGAATAGAAGGGGCTGGGGAAAAGAAAGAAAAGAAAATGCCTGGGTGGACCCCGGGGAGGAGACCGCCTTCCCCAGATGCCCGGCTGGGCGTCCAGGGTAACTGAGGACTGTATCGACTTAAAGGGGAAAAGAACAAGGTACATGGAACTTGGCTTTTTTTCTGGAGTTTGGAAAAACAGGGCGGTGTGGGT